GCCATGTTGGCGTCACCACCGATCAGGTCGACCTGGTAGTGAATACAGTCGGCAAACATCGAGGCGAGGCATTCATGAGCGACAGAGATCTTCTTGGATGCAACGATGTTGTTCAAGTGGAACGCACAAACTCGCAACCGATCTGTACCAGCCCGTTCGAGAACACGAGTGTAGGAGCCGTCGGGAAACTCTCCTCTGTTTCCCTGACCACCTAGAGGCAAAGTTTTACCATAGACGATCTCAACGATCATGTAGGTAAGAGGCAGTTGCGCATGAGCTTCCCCGACCAGTGTCGAGCCTGCTAAGCGCGTAAGACTGCTGCCAACTAGGTTGGTTCGACTTCCGACGAGAAGGTCACCAGAGTTGTTCTGGATCACCTGCCACCCTCTCGAATAGAGGAAGTCTTTCTCGCCCTGTGTCACATTCGTTGCTTCGCATAGAACAAACAAGTGTGACTTACTCTGGGCGATGCTTTTGATCAAAGCTCCCTTCGAGTCCCCGCTCGAATCATACTCGATATAATCCGAGAACGCGGAAGGTGCCGTCTTTTTCCTTCCTCTGACGAAGTTCCCGAGGTTCAATATGAGAGCCGTATATTTGGTCTTGGAGGTATAAATGGGAACCGGTCCATCTTCTCCGAGACCATATCTGAAGAGTTGAGGGTTCGGCATCTTGTCCAGTGACAAGTCCCCGACCTCTTCCTCATTCACGCCAGCACTTAAGAAGAGATGCAACATGGCATTGAGCAGCTCTTCCCGGGTGGCTGGTCTTCCGGCCTCATGAAGCTCTTTCACCTTCTGGAGAAGGTTGTCGTGAACTTCCAACGCCGCCGCTCGTACATCCGATGCCTTGGCCATAAGCCGATCGTCAAGTGTACTGCGGACATCGCCTGTTCTGAACACATAGTCCAGACGTTCAGGACGACGATCGTAGATGGGCAACATCTTGCAGACCTGCTGGAAGAGCGCGGTCTCGGGAAGGTGGAACTTTTGGTAAGCATGCGGCGGAGCTGCCACACGCCAACCCATGTGTTGCACCTTGAAGAAGCCCACGGGATCGACCTCGATGTCGCGGATGCCTGTGTGGAAAAAGCCGGTATAGCCGTAGCCATTCTTTTGGTCCTTTAGCAGGACCAAAGGGCTTTTCCGCTCGAGTCTGTAGCCATCCTTGATGAACTCCTGGTACTCGGCGGTATCCACGAGACCCTTTTTATCGCTGGACTTTTCGAGGTTGTCGAAAGCGTCCTCGTTTTGGGCCTCTGCATCCTTCGTGGCTTTCGCGGCCTCCGGGTCAGCGACGGTCTTACACTTCCCCCAAATACCTTGATCATAAAGTATCTCTTCATCATCATCGTCATTGGGAGAAATGTCAGGCATGGATTCCTCTCCCAGTGGAGAGCCTTCCTTATCCGCCACATCGTCGTTGACCTCCTCCTTGGCATCCATGTGCTCGTCCTTGGACTCCAATTTCTCTCCCAGTGGAGAGCCTTCGGTGTCCTCAGCCTTTACTCCAGATCCCTCTCCCTGTGGAGAGCCTTCCGGAGCTTCGGTCTGCATGGGCACATCGGGTGTCTCCACCTCTGCTGAGTCAGCCGTCTCGCCCTGTGGCGGGTGCGCTGTCTCTGCAGTGGCGTCGGAGGTTTCCATCGAAATGTCCACCTCGGGCTCGAGGATCTCCTCCACCTGCGGACCAGGAAGCTTTTCGAGAAACTCCTCCACGGCGATGTCCTCGTAGGGTCGCGTGTAGAGCTCCTCTAGTTCTGCTTCCCGCTTGGCCTTGATGTCCAGATAGGCGCGAAGATCAGACTTAGCCTTCCGCACGAAGCGAGACTTAAAGTCTTTCTCTTCTTTCTCCTTGAGGACTCGATCAGCACAAGCAAGGATATAGTCCCCGTTGAAAGGTTGACGCAAGGTCGAATCATAGAGACCATATCCTTCAGGTGTCCGGACTGAATTTGCGGCGGATTTCCTCGTTCTGAGAGTTCTTCTGTATGTAGGAGAAGAACTCTTGCCCGTAGGACTCGGCGACGATTGACACCATCAAAGAGAAGTCGTCCCTGACATGAGCGATCTCTTGGTACACGTCCCTTTCAAAGTTGAAAGCCTCGTGTGCCTCGAGCTTCTTTGAGCAGTCAGGGTCACCGGCCTTCGGCTTCCTCTCCCGCGGGTCGTCAGGTGCAGGACGATTGAAGCCGATTTCGGAGATCTTANNATCTTTGCGGCCTCGGTGAGGTCGTCAATCATTCTGGGAAGGCCACCAATATGCTTGTTGGGGTACTTCTCATAGGGCGACTTATAGCCTCCCGTGTACACCCTCGGCTTATGGACCAGCTCAAACAGTTGCCCTGCAACTTGCCGAGTTCAAAGGCCTTCAGAAAGAAGTGGAGAGAATAGCCGGAAAGAGGATGAGACATCCAGCCAATACTCTCATACGCCAGAACCACGCCATTGTCTGTGAGATACAGTTCGTGGCCGTGATTGAGGTAGCTTTCGTAGTCGAGATTGCAGTAAAAGATATACGGCCCATACCTGATGTATGTTCCTGGCCCCGGGGATGTCACTCCGCCAGCGTAGACGAGGTGAATCGCCACCCGCGTTGCCACGAGGCGCGAGTTGCCTCCAAGACGAGGCCCTTCTCACGGATACCCTCATAGTTGGCGTTGTCCGAGGCATGAAAGATCATGCCCAGCTTGCGACACCGCTCGATTGACAGTCTCTCACCCTTGGAGATGTCTGACACCTGATCCGGGACTCTGCTGTGCCCCTGTATGGCGCTGACACCGATATGGAAGTCCCAGTCGAGGAAGCGACCAAAAGTCAGTGCCACAGGAGCAACCCAGATGTTAAAGCGACCTTTCGAGTTGGCCATCAGGAAGCTGAAGAACTTCCTGGGGTGCCAGTCGTAAGGCTTAACATTGGTACGCAGAAGTCCCTCCAGACTGCACTCCATGTATTTCCCCAGGACAGTGCGATCGCCATGTCGAAGAATCCGAGACAGCGACTTTGACATTTTCACTGCCCAGCTGCCGTGGTTGTAACTGAGATTGGACACTTCACGAATCTCAGCCGTAACCGTTGCCAGCTCTGCCTCATCGAGGCAGCCGAGGAAATGTCTGAGGAACTCGTACTTCCAAACGAGGTTCTGCTGGAGGATGTGAGTCCCAGGGTGGTTCTCCTCGTAAAGCCTGACGTGGGACAGAAAAGCCAACTGTCCCTCCAGGAGCTTAGTCACAGCTTTCTCCCTATGTGGGAAGTATGCTGTAACGTCCTGGTGTCCAGGATGTCGTGGAACATCCTCGGGCTTGACCTTGAGGGAAGCCACCGGTGCGCTCTCCGGAAAGACTCGGGAACGTCGCTTGGCATAAACTACCACGCCGCCATCTCCAACTGTTCGGAGTGCGCGACGGGTAATCCAGGATGCGCTCTTCAGGTAGTTGCCGTACTCGGGAACACCAGTGATAAGGTCCACCCGCAGGTTGCAACCAAGGTTTGGCGTCCAGTATACCTGCGGTGCCGATGCCTCTTCCTGTGAAGAGCTGTCGACATCCATCGGAGCAGATCCTGCCGCAGCCATGCTGGTAACAGAAGTGGAAGTTGTGGGCTACTTTCTCACTTGAGTTTTGAACCAGCTGATTTGAGCAAATGCAGGCACAAATTTAAAAAGAAACCTACATCCAACAAACATGCACATGAACTGACTGACATGAAAGCTCTCACATGAAGCAGCACACTCACATGAAGCAGCACAGACTCACAACCGCTCCTGCATGAAAGTGACATGTTGCACTGCACTCAAAACCGCGTACTCCTTTCGGAGCCAGGCGTTCAAGAATGCCTTGTGCTCAATCATTGAGCGAAATGGGGGGGTGTGAGTCAATCTCCTTCAACCAACCCGTTTGGACAGAGTTCAGGAGGTTTCGGGGATTTGCGCTTCGTTTCGTGAGACAATCAGATAAACAGTGCTCGGTTCGAATGTGAGAAAGATCAGCGATAGCCCCTGAGCAAGCTTCCTTTCTCAGCATTTGTATCATGTGAATGGTTTCTTGCTGAGTGAGTAGTAGAAGCAGTAGAAACGAGATTGTTAGCGTCCGTACGCATGTGAATCTCAGCATCCAAACCGCTAATATCCTTCCACAACCCACGAAGCATTTGGCAAGTACCAAAACACTTCATCAGAGCGTAAAGCTCTGCAACAGTAGTGCTGAGGGTCGTTCTCTTGATCTTAGTGGATTCGAAGAAGACCAATGAACCTCGGGTGTCTCTTCGATTCTTGACTCTCTCATCAGCAATAAAGATAGTCATCGCTCTCTGGGATGACTTATCACTGTTGTTGCGAAAAGCTGCGTCAGGAATTCCCAGAACCCTAGGAGATCCCTTCACCGGCCACACGCGCAACTCCACCTCTTCACTGCGAATCTGTCGACACAACTTGTTCAACTCTTTACAGTCCGACGGTCGGAGCCGCTGATGCGGAGGCCAGGCGAGAGAACTGATAGCATGCCTGGAACTGTGTCCGTTGACTGAAGCCAATTGATGCTCCCAAGCAATGAACGATACGAGGTGTGGAGCGACTTATCGCAAGCATCAGTCTTTCAGGTGTTTCGGGATCACAATCTCTTCAAGTTCTGAAACACACAACCTTTGATCGATCGATATATACTTCTTCTTTCCTTGTGCATCAAGGACCCAACGAACACGCTGTCCCGTGAACGCAAGGTCGTTCTTGTCCTCATGGCCAACAGTGAAATGTTCCTTGATCTTCTTAAGGAACCAAGTGAGGAACTCAGGGGATCCACTGATGATGAGATCATCAACGTGGAGACTCATCACTCCCACTGTCTTTCGGCCTCTGCTTGGACTTCCATGCGCAGGATCAACGAAGTGCTCAAGAAGCTGGTCAACCAACTCAGGCGAGAGTTCGGAAAGACTCTCTACCTGATAGGAGGCCTTCTCTGGCAGGAATAGAGACACAAGAACTTCAGCTTCTTCCTCGAGGAAGCAAGTCTTGTTGTCCTTATCAAGCCTCATGTCGTGTGCACGCTCAACAATCCACCAAGTGCCCTTCCGAAGAATCATAGAGACACGATATGGATAGTCCTTTACCTGATAAACAGGTGCAGGAGTACGGAGAGCCTTGGCCCTGTGAGAAACGAGAGCATGCCCGTTCTCGGAAGGGGACCATCCTCTCTTCTTGCATGCAACACTACCTAAGAAACCCAGAAGCTTGGCATCAGTGACAGGTCTCCATGCATAGTCAACCACCTTCTTGGTTTCGGTGTTGAAGCACTGAGCAAGATCGGGACATGAGAGATAGGATCTCTCCTCCGCACGGTCGGAGGTAGAATGATTTCCTTCACCATATGCGTAGCATGACATGGCATGAAGAGGTAGCTCCTTGAGGTATCCAGGTTCCGCCTCCGGAGAGGTGCTTCCTGGTTCAGATTCCTCCTCCTGAGAGGAGCCTTCTGCCGAAAGGTAGCTTTTGCTCTTTTTGCCTTCGATGCCGTCGTATGCGACATAAGTGCATCGGTCAGCTCGTGTCGGTTCCATACCAATAGATCGGAGGAATTTGTCTAAACGGTTCCACCACCTGCGCGGTGCATCGTTCAGACCATAGACTGGCCGAAGGCACAGTCCGACCATCCATGTCGGCAAACCGATATCTTGGGGCAATTGAACCACAACCATGCGAGATGACAGATTGTAGTGTTCCCCCTGAAGGAAAGCAGTCTTGAGATCCAAGTGCAAAAGGTCCCAGAAATGATTGGCCGCACACTGCGCAACCAAACGGAAACCATACCGAGTAGCCGTAGGGCTGTCCGTTTGCTGGTCCCAGGCAAACTTATCCTGGAAACCACGACAAACCCAGCGGGCCTTGAACTTGGAAAAGTAACCGTTCTTATCAACCTTCACAGTGAGGACCCAACGCCCGGTGAGAAAATTGACGTCACGACCCAACTTGCGACGGTCAGTAAGCCGGATGGCATCATTGTCCAAGTAACTCTTGAACTCCTCCAGCTTAGCAGCACGAACTTCCTTCGCATACTTGCGCTGCATCTCCGGAGTAATAGTACCCGCCTTGATCTTATCCTGCTTGGTCAACCATGACGCAAACCCATCGCCGTCCAGAGGAACAAGCGAAGGAACATCGTCACCAGCAACCAAGGCAAGCAAGGAATCCTCACGATAGTCAACAGTTGCGTCCGAATCCGTATCCTCACCAGCCTCCGGCACAGGAGGTTCCGCGGCGGATTCCGGAAGTGGGGTTTGCTGAATAGGGAATTCTCCCTCTGTGACAGGCAAACCAGGAACC